GTTTGGGGAGGGCGGAGCTGGGCAGGCCATGCTGCTGCAGCTGCTGGGTCCCACCGCCAGTTCCCCCTGGGTCTTACTACCCCTGGTGCCTTGCCATCTTTGACAGGCAGCCGGGGCAGATAAATATTAAATTTCTGACCCACAGTCAGATTCAGATATGATCCACAGTCCATATTATGCCTGCCCCTGACTTCATAGATAGATTTCACAGATTTCTGGGGACAAGCTGAAGGAACTGGGCTTATTTAGTCTAGAAAAGAGAAGACAGAGGGGATTTAACAGCAGTCTTCAACTACGTGAAGGGGGATTCAACAGAGAATAGAACTAAAATGTTCTCAGTGGTGGCAGATGGACGAAAAAGGAGCAACAGTCTTAAGTTGCAACAAGGGAAACTCGGGTTAGATATCACGAAGAATGTTCTCACTAGGAGGGTAAGAAAACACTGGAACAGGTTACCTAGAGAGGTGGTACAATCTCCACCCTTGGATGTTCTCAAGACCCAACTAGACAAACCTTTGGCTGGAATGATCTGGTTGTGGATGGCCCTGTTTTAAGCAGGGGATTTGACTAGATTGTAAGGGAAGAGAAGAGACACCGGTGGCAGAGAGTAAGTACCAGAGTTGGAAGGGTGCTTGCAAGCAGCCGTCCCGTAACCAAAGCTACACAAAGTCACACAGGAATCCTTCTTCTCACAGTGTTTCCAGAGGGGAGGAGGAAGGAACGTGAGCTCTGCTATAACAACAGACTCAGAGCAGACAAAAGGGGAACAACCAGAATTGGAAGTTCCTGAATCTAACAGGTTGACAGCAGGAATGCCTGAGAGCATCCAGGAGGCTGCAACAAAGCTCTTCAGGAAGTGAGCTCTAGTGAGAGAGCTGACAGGGAAGAAGCCAAGACAAAGCAGCTTTTGGGTAACCTGAAGCCTCAGCTGGTGATAAGGACTGAGAAGGAGGTACTATAAAGACCTGAACAGAAGGACTGATAAGGAGGTATCATAAAGACCTGAACAGAAGGACACAGATAAGTTAACTTTGTTTTCGCCACCTGGGAAGAGGGAAAGAACCCTCCTAGACACAGAGCGATAGTGAAGAGTAACTATCTGCACATAAGCTGGGAAGCTATTTAAACACAAGTCAGTTCATTTTCTAAAGCCCTGGTGGAGGCTAACCAGGACTAACTTGATGGTGATTTATTTGAGTCAGAGGCATAGGAAGGACTCTGATAGACTCTGGCAGATCATATGGACTATACGTTAACACCCAGTAGAACAGGAGAGGGTACAGGGGTTGGCAGAGCCCTCACTATACTAAGGCAGACATAAGGACCAATTGTGCAAGAAGCTACATGCCCAAACATTTCTTCTTTTCTCCCTTATCAGCAAGTCCTGGCAGGCGAGAGCGTGGGTATGCAGAATACTGCATCAAGAAGGGTCCTGGCAGTCTTCAGCCAGCCTGTTGAAGAGCAAAGACTGCCTTAGCAGGAAAAAAAAAAGGAAAACTTTACGGAGAAGGTGATAACCGTACAAGACTAATTGATTATTTAAATTGAGGCGAGACTGACATCAATTAGACTTTAGCGTTCATCAGGAACAGACACAGATAACCTCCTGAGGTCTCTTCTGACTCTAATTTTCTATGTAGCTGTTACCATTTTATACGAGAAATCTTTCAACTATGGCCAAGGAACACTTGGTGACTTACAGAAAACAAGAACCAGTAATATAATGCTGGATATTCTGATGGCTTCTAGCTATGTCTACAAAATCTATTCTGTGGATAATTCTAAGAAAAGAAAAGACACCCAATAGAACAGAATATATTTTATGATGATTCCAGAGGAAAAACAATATTTATCTTGCTCTGCTTTTCATGGTTCTCTGTAAGTGTGTAAGATAGTAATATCAATAAAAATACCACAGAAGAGTGTATTACTCTAAAGCAGTAAAATCTAAACATACTTATATATAAAATAGATAAATCAATTCCTTTATTATGACTTAAACTGCAATATTTTTAATCCAATTGAGGGTCTAAATAAGTTGAAAAAGATTAAAGTATGTTATCCCCTAAGTCAGGGGTTTTCAACCTTTTTTAACAAGTGTACCCCTTCTGCCTCAAAGTTTCAGCTCACGTATGCCATTATATTTTTTTCTTGTTTTTAGGAGGATGAGGAGCAGATCAAGGCCCCCATGGTGAGGGAAGGAGTAAGGATGGGGCAGGAGCATGGGTTGCAGCCAGGGCAGAGTGCAGGACAGAGCCATGAGAGCATCTTGTCTGGGGAGCCCAGGGATGGGGACATCAAAATCGGTTTGATGAAAAATAGACAACTGAATACAATTAAATTGATTAAACACCCTATTATGATGGTTAAACATCATACCTAAATGGGGGGAGGGGTTGAGGGGGCTTCAGTTTGTCAGAAGTACTCTCTATAGGACATGCAGGACTCATTTTTCACAAAAGTACTGCTTAGCAGAAATCCATGGAAGTCTGAGCATAACTCAGTCAAGTAACTGGGGTGGAATAGATTTTTATCAACATTTCTTTTTTTCTGCGATCATTAATGTTAATAGTAGTTTATTTACAGCTTGGACTAAAATGATCCAGGAGAATTAACAACAGGATTATACATTGTATACTAATAAATTTAAAGGATATGCGGTTATTAGTAAAGACATACAATAAAATTACACATTCTACTAATTTAAACAAAAGTAAAATTGAACAAATATAATACAAATCAATAGAAGTGAAGCAATATGAATTTGAAGAATAAAAAATTAACAGGGAATTGCATTTGATTTCGGCCCTTATTCTTTGTGCAAGTAGCACAAATATACTTACAGGATATAGGACAGGTCATGCATCTTTAATACAAATTTCACAAAATAATATCCAAATGTAAGCAACATACATATACTTTCATTTGTGGCATGAAATTGTATATTAACTAATATATTACTAGTTGAGAATCAAACATTTAGGTCCATTAAATAGGTTAATATGTTGATATACAATCATTAGATGCTTGCTTAAATATCATTTTTCATTTTTCTGAAAAACTGCTCCTTGATTTCATAGAAATCATAGAAAATATACAAAACAGGAAATAAAATAAAATATGGGCCCACTACATCCTATACCTAAATCATTCAGTTTTCCAGCTTCAATATAGTGAACAGTGTTTCATTTGACTATAAATATAACAAAGTATTAAGTAACTTAATAGTTACTTGGTGCCAAAAACATTTGGCAACTACTAAAGAAATAAAAAAAATTAAATTTATTACATCTGATAGCTCACTCTGTTCAACATAACTCTCAAGATTAGCTATATACAAGGAGTTAAGCTTTACCTTTTTCACAAATACTCTAGGCTTCATATGACTGCTCCGAGCTCTGGTATAAGTATCCATGGTTTTGTTCATCTTAGTTTTCAGCGAAGGAGATCAGCTCCAAAATGCCTACATAAAAATATTTATCACATAATCACTTTACACTTTGAATATACCTTGTATATACAGAACAATTCCACAATTTTGATATAAGGTAAGGTATGTTAAAACTGAACAAATGCAAACAGTTAGCATCCCATTCATTTTTTTCCTCTTAAAAAATGTGCTGTTGTAAAGTCTAGAGTTAATGGACTGTGAAAACAGTGAGCCTGAAAAACATAACATCTAAACAAAATATTTATCCTCTCTGGCTAACAGTGGGAGGGACAAGTGGAAGAAGTTTTACTTTTCTTGAATGTTTCACTTTACTATTCTACTGATTAACAGCAGTCAAATTTACTAGTCACTACCAGGGATCCTGGTTTTCTCTAATTTAACAAAATCCCTAATTTTTGGATTTAAAAAAAAGTAACCCCCAAGTACCCAGGTTGTAGCCATATTGGCCTAGAGGAAAAGGCAATCAGGACTCATAGTAGAGATGATATCTTTTATCAGACCAACAAGATTTTTGCAAAAAAAATTCTTTAAGTCCCCCCCCCCAGGCACAAACACCCTTCATCAGGCATTGGAGAAAAGATTGTAAAAGGTCTCCTAGGTAGAAAAGAAAGTTCGTATTTCATAGGATTTCACAGAGGAGTCAATAGACGGAAAACTCTGGGCAGTCAGTCATAGCTAGTTTACAGCCCCTCACAGGAGGTGTGAGAATCTGTGATGGTGCAAATTACCTTGAAACAAGGGCAGGAGCAGGATCTCAGGTGATCAGAGTTGCTTCCTGCTTGGGAAAATATGAAAATTTCATTTTTCTTTTAAATTAGCTAGTATATCTTCCATGTGGGAGGCAAGGCCAGCACTGCTTGCTTCGCCCCCCCATTCCAGTCCTTCCCATTATGGCGGTGCTTCTGTCTGTGCAGAACATGCCGATTGGCTGTTTTAGTAAGCGTTGCAATTGGCTGACCAGACAGCGGGTTCCCCCTGTAGGCTGGCTGAGTTCCAGCCTGCAACCGACTGCTTGGGGCAGAGGGCACCAAGTGCATGTATACTCAAGCACACACTTGCGACCAACAATAGAGCCAGGTAGTGGTGAAGAGTAGCTCCCCAGCCTACCTGCAGCTAAGTCTGTGGGGTAGGGAGGGGTGGAGATTGAGACTCCCACGGTGAGGGAGGGAGCAGGACAGGGTTGGGGGTGCTGCATAGTCAGGGTGGAAATGCATGGTCATGGGGCCTGCTGAGGGAGTGGAAAGGAGGCACAGGCAGCTTGTCTGGGGTGGCAGGGGCTGGCTCCCCAACACTGCACAAACTCCAGGGGGGAATGGCGGGAGGGGATATGTGCCCCCTCATATTTGTGCACGGGTCAATGGAGGATGTGGACTGCCCACTGTGGGCTCGGGGCTCCACACCCTGTTGCCCAAACTCAGGGGCCTCCATGGCCATGTCCCAACAAGCAGGATCCAGCGCAAGAGGGCAGAGAGGCTTGGTACTCCCGCCACCAGGAGTCCCACGCCAGCCATGCACCCACAGCAAGGCTTCCCCTGCCCACCCAGCAGCAATGGAGGGCACAACTCTGTGCTGCTACTCCCACTGCTCCCAGGTGGGCATAGGGCATCTCACCATGGCAGCGTGGTTAGTGCGGGGCTCCCAGCAGCAGAAGCCATAGCACAAAGCCTATCAACCCTCCCACGCCAGGTCCTGCCTGCTGGGCAACAAAGGCCCCCAGATACAGTGCAGCAGGACAGGGAGCCCCAAGCCCCACAGCAGGCAGCCCTCATCCATCCTTGTTCCCCACAAGCTCTGTTCAGCTCTGCTCCAGCCATGCCACCTGCAGTGGTGGGGAAGGGGGGAGGAGGCAAGCTCCATGCTCCGCTCTGGCTGCAGCAGCCACTGCCTCTCATACACAGCAACTGAGGGTCAGGTGGGCAGGGGGCTGCAAACCCTGGCTCTGTAGCCCCGAGGGCTGGTGACCCCCTCTGGCAGGGCTGGGCAGGCCAGGGGGCTGTGGGCTGGGAGTAAGGAACACCAGAAGGGCTATGGGAGTGGGAGACTGTGGGTTGGGGGTGAGGGGCACCAGCAGGGCCAAGGGGCTGTGGCTTGGGAAGGAGGGGCAATGGCAAGGGCAGGGCACTGGCATATCAGGGATACTCAGTGCCACAAAGCAGCGGGGGCGACAGCTGCAGCTGGACCCACATCCTGGTGAGCGAACAGGGCAGGTGGAGCTCCTATTTTCTATGATAAAAAAGAAAAAAAAAATCTTACACCAAAATATGTAAGTATTTAGAATGTATTTTATGTATAGTGATTGAGGCAATGGTAGGCTTCCAAATTACTTTGAAATTGTAAATATATCAATAAAACATTGCATTCAACTGATACCTATATATAGTGGCATTTCACTTTAATTGCAGAAAAATGCATATTTTGGGTTCTTAATGAGAATTTTGGATTTTTAATCAGAGAATTTGCCATTTTTAAACAGAAAAAACCAGAATCCCTTTTCATGGTTTTGTAGCAATACAGCTGTAGCAAAAGTGCTCCAATTTTTAACCATGCTTCATCCAGGATCAAAGTTAGGGCCATTTTGCTGCCTTGTATTGCTACAAAACCATGCAGATCACAACAGCTACTGTGTTCCTGAGCAACAGAGCTCCCCACTCCCTCAGCAGTATTTTCACAGTACTTTAAGTTAAACTGGAACTATAATAAAACTAGACCAAATGATTAATTTCAAATCTGCAGATTAAGATTCTTTGTTGATAAAGATGCTTAAAGTTTTTGCCTTTTTTAATATATTTAATAAAAATAAAGGAAAAATAAAAGCAGTGGCAATAATTCAAGTCATGAAAATACAAAAACAGTTCAACTGAGCAATTTCATTTAACTTCTTTCCTCATACCTTCATACTCAACATTACTACTGAAACTCCTTCCCACTTGTAGATTTTTGTGGATGGGGTGAAGTGGGTGGGGGAGGGAAGGTGGGAAGAAGGTGGAAAGAAAAATCTTGCAGCTATCAGGAGGAGAAATGCTGGCACTAAAGAACATGAACCAGCTAAAGGATGATATATTGAGTTGAAAAAGGTCCTCAAGGAATCCATTTCTAAGCACTTGGAGAAGAAGCAGGTGGTTAGGAACAGCCACCATGGATTCAAAAGCAAGTTATGTCAGACCTATCTGACTGCCTTCTACGAGGAGATGACTGGCTCTGTGGATGCAGGGAGATCAATGGATGTGATACCTTGACTATAGCAAGGCTTTTGATATGGTCTCCAAAAACATTCTCACAAGTAAGCTAAGAAGGTGTGAATTACATGAAGGAACTGTAAATGGACAGAAAACTGGCTGGATTCTCAGGCTCAAAAGGTACTAATGGCTCAATGTCTACTTGGCAGCTGGTATCAAGTGAAGTGCCCCAGGAGTCAGGCTGGTTTTGTTCAGTATCTTCATCAACAACCTGGAAAGTAGTATAGAGTGCACCCTCAGCAAGTTTGCAAATGGCACTAAGCTGGGCAGAGTAATAGATTTGCTAGAGAGTAGGGCTAGAATTCAGAGAGACCTTGACAAATGGGAGGATTGGGCCAAAACAAGTCTCATGAGGTTCAATAAGGACAAGCGCAAAGTCCTGCATTTAGGATGAAAGAATCCCATGCGCCAGTACAGCCTAAGCAGCAGCTCTACAGAAAAGGAGAGTGGTTACAGTGAACAATAAGATAAACATGAGCCAACAGTGTGCCCTTGTTGCAATGAAGACTAACAGAATACTGGGTTGAATTAGTATTAGTAGCGTTGCTAACAAATCAAGGAAAATGATTCTTCCGCTCTATTCAGCACTGGTAAAGCCACATTAGGAGTACAGTGTCATTTGGGGCCTCCCGCTACAGAAGGGACATGGGCAAATTGGGAGAGTCCAGCAGAGGGCAACAAAAATGGTAAGGGGGCTGGGGAATGTGGCTTATGAGGAAAGGCTGAGGGAACTGGGCTTATTTAGTCTGGAGAAGAAAAGACAGAGGGGGGGTTCTAAAGAGGATGGAGTTTCATAGTCGGTAGGGTCAGAAGGGACCTAAGCAGATCATCAAGTCCAACCCCCTGCCATGGCAAGAAAAAGTACTGGGGTCAAATGACCACAGCAAGGTGTTCATCTAACCTCCTCTTAAAGACCCCCAGGGTAGGAGCCTGCACCACTTCACTTGGAAGTTGGTTCTGGATCCTAGCCGACCTGACAGTGAAGTAGCACCTCCTGATATCTAGCCTGAATCTACCCTCTGCCAGCTTGTGACCGTTATTCCTAGTCACTCCTGGCAGTGCTCGAGGGAACAGGGACTCCCCCAGTGTCTGCTGGTCCCCTCTGACTAGTTTGTAGCAGGCCACTAGATCCCCCCTCAGCCTTCTCTTATGGAGGCTGAACAGTTTCAGGTCCCCTAGCCTCTCCTCATAGGGCCTGCCCTGCTGCCCCCAATCATGCGAGCAGCCCTCCTCTGGACCCTCTCCATGTTGTCCACATCCCTCTTGAAGTGCAGCACCCAGAACTGGACACAGTACTCCAGCTGTGGCCTGACCAGTGCTGCATAGAGGCGGAGGATCACCTCCTTGGACCCACTTGAGATGCATCTGTGGATGCACGACAAGGTGCGGTTGGCCTTCCTGACTGCATCCCCACGCTACTGGCCCATGTTAATCTTGGCATCAATGATGAGTCCAAGATCCTTTTCTGCCTCTGTACTGACAAGAAGGGAGTTCCCCAGCCTGTAGGTATGGTGCTGGTTGTTCCTCCCCAGGTGCATCACCTTGCACTTGTCAGTGTTGAATCCCATCCTATTCTCGACTGCCCACCCCGTAACCTGTTTAGGTCTGATTGCAGCCTATTCCTCCCTTCTAGCATACCCACATCCCCCCACATCTTTGTGTCATCAGCAAATTTCAACAGGGTGCTTTTTACCCCCTCGTCCAAGTCACTGATGAAGATGTTGAACAGTGCGGGCCCGAGGACTGAGCCCTGCAGAACCCCACTGCCCACATCTCTCCAGGTCGAAAATGACCCGTCCACTAGTGGTGGGAGATGACAACAAGAAGTGATGGTCTGAACTTGCAGCAAAGAAAGTTTAAGTTAGATATTAGGAAAAACTTGCTTGCTAGGAAGGCGATGAAGCACTAGAACAGGTTACCTACAAAGGTTGTAGAATCTCCATCTTCGAAGATTTTTAAGACCCAGCTAGACAAAGCCTTGGTTGGGATGATCTAGTTGGCGATGGTCCTGTTCTGAGCAGGGGGTTGGACCGGATGATGTCCTGAGGTCCCTTCCAACATTAATTTCTATGATTCTATTTATGATATATAAACTTTACCTTTTATTTAACTTGCCTATAACTCAACTGCATCTAACTAAGATCTTACATTGGGAAATTATGCTATTTTACATGTCCGTAAAATACAAGTGTGCTGAACAATAATCAGTGCAATTTAACTGAGCTATGCCCACATACACATATCTATGTTGAAATGCATAGCTCCAAGTGTAAGTCTTAAAATTACACATATTCTAAGCCGGTGGTTTTTGAACTTTTTGCATTTGCTGACCCCTAAAAAATTTTGAATGGAGATGTGGACCACTTTGAACTGCAAGTCTGCGTATTCACGTACTTTTGACTGATCATAATCATTTTTTGCAAACACCTTGGACAGTCTGGAGACCTCCAGGGGTCCACAGACCACAGGTTGAAAGCCACTGTTTTAAGCAGTTTAAGCAGTCTCCACACCTTTATTAAATCATATTTTCACATCAAATAAAAAGGCACCAATCATTGATGAGGGTACAGTTAAGCCAACTGCAAGTTTCAAAGAGCAACCCCTTTGGCTATAGCACTGTCTAAAGAGCAGAAAGATTTTGTTTCAATAATTAAACTGTCTGCCTGGTCATTAATTTCCAAAACAACTAAAGAAGCTGCCTAAAAGTAAATTTCAGGGAAAAGCCCAATCACAGAAAGCCTTCATTCAAATTCTCAACCTTTCAAAAAGTTATGTAGAGAGATCATTCAAACTCTTCTGCAATCTTAGCAAAAATGGATATCATTAAGAATCTATGTTCTTAATGATCCTATTCTGGCAATAGAGTGGACTAGATAATCCAGTGGGCTCTCTCTGTCCCCAGGTTCTAATGTTTTCTTCAATGTTTCACGTGACTTTTAAATCAATCATCATGACCAACACAGTTAAGAGCCTTGAAAAATTGTTTTCACACCCTTCCCCCTGACCTGTAAGTTGCCTCCATAATAACCAGAAACATGGTGAAGCGTGGGAACATTATGAAAGGCTATGTTCAATGTTATGTTGTATAGCACATCACCACAGCAAAGGTTTGATGTGTTTTTCACATACCACACAAGTAAGACACACACCTTGTTTCAGGGTGGCAGAATGAAGGGAGAGAGATTTTTCTAGAGTCTTATCTGCCACAGCACAGGCTTACCCAGGGATGAATGCTCCATTAGTCCAATCATCAACTCTACTCTCCTTCCCCCAGATCCTTGGCCAAGAAGAGCTAATGCCAGTTTGGCAGCAGGTGAGGGAAGGTTAAGCCTGCAGCTCTTGGCCCTGCAGCAGGGGGAGGGGAAGGGATGACAGGATTGCCACCCTGCTCCATGCCACCAGTGTTCAGCCTTGGGTGACCCGGTACTGAGCATAGCCCCCTACCACCACTCCTTCACCCCTTATATTGCCATAACAGAAAGAGCCATTTTGCCATTTCATAGACATTTGAAGAGTCCATTCTGGAATGAAAATCAGTTTTTTACTTATCCCAAATGGAGGCATTTGTCTGGACTATAAATTGTCAGAGGAATAGGTGTGCTTGAATAAATGTGACATTTATCGTATACCTCAGTTTTAAAAGGACACATTTTCCCCATGACAAAATTGGTACCAAGAGAAATTTTTCCCCCCACTGAACAGTAGATAGACATTATATGATGATACATTATTTTTAACGTTAGATTCAGTAACTTCACTTTTTGAAATACTTTACAATGAGTCTTGTAAAAATACACACATGTTGCATGTTTAAAGAAGGACTTATTTTTGCAGATGTCATTATACCTAGACCTGTTGGAAGATTTAAGTTCAAAGATTCTTCTCTCCAAACTGCTAACAAAAAAACCCAAGCAAACAGGAAAAAAACTCTGTCTTTTATTCACTGATTTATCATCATGGAGTTGTCAAAAACACTGAATTGCAGCCTTTATTTTATACAAAAACAAAAAGATTTTCTCAATATGCAACTGACCCAATGTCAACATGGCTACAGAAAGAACAAACAAATACCTTAGAGAAAAACACTAACTGAAAATTAAAACATGGAATTAAATCCCTTAAAACTTAGACATCTTTAGTGTATAACTTGTATGTCACACCATTCTGCCATTTAAAAAGTTAGCAAGACATTATTTCAGAACAGTTTTCTCTAGAACTGCTGGCTACTTTTGCATACTTTACTGCAACATATAAGGTTTTTAGGAAGTGTTCTAGCTGTATAGTTACCTGATACAGAAATAAAAATAAGTTAGTTACTTGGCTTATACCTTATTCAAGTGTTAAAAGCAGCTTTTTTTCATTATGGCAAATGCTGAATCCTCATTTGCTGACATTAACCAAGTCAAAATGAACATGGCTATTTTTATTTACTTCCTGATGGTGAACCAGAAGCACAGATGATTTCAAAACCATACAAACAAATATTCGTTACCCAAATTATGTTACAGAACTAGCACTGAAAGACATAAAACCACACCAAACCCCCGATTGCTACCATTTTTTCCAGTTTGTCTTCACTTAATTCTTACCTTTACCTCAACCATAATAAAAAACACACTTTCTAACCGATTGCAGAATTATCAAATGTTTGCTTAAGATAAAGTATATGGGGATGATCCTGCCTCAGGCTGGCGGTTGGGCGACATAATCTCTGGAGATCCCTCCCAGCCTGACTCCTCTACAATGCTATGAACATGCCCAGAAACACAGCAGATTTATCATCTCAAGTTCTCAGAGGCTTTGAAAACATGATCACAGTAGAACAGAAACAGCCCATGCCTTTTCTCCTTCGACTAAAGGATGCCAACTGTGCAGGGGAACACAACATGGAAAATGCGTGCTTGGCATCCCTGCAACAAGAGCATAATTGCACACAGATGAAGGTACCGCTTGGTCTAAACCCTTTTTTATTTTGCCCAAAGTAACACTTTCCATAGAAAACAAAAACAAAAAACAAAACACACACCATGTTGAAACTTTAAAGAGTGGCAACATCTCAAGCTAATCACTGGGGTGGGGGGCAGGATGACCCCCATCTTCTTCCTCTGAGGGTTCAGACCCAGCGGGAAGCTGACCCCATTTCTCCCTAGCGCTGAGCAGGTTGCAGCCGATCCTACATGGGGCACGGGAACCTGGTGAGAAGCAGGGACAGGCCATAGGGCTGGAACAAGCAGGGTTAAAAGCTAGATCCCCCTGCCCTAAGGCCTGTCTGTGCTTCTCACCAGGTTCCCATACCCCATATAAGATTGACCACGATCTGCTCAGTACTGGCTAGAAACGAGGTCACCTTCCAACTGGGTCTGAAACCACAGAGAAAGAAAACGGAGTCGTCCTGTCCCCACCGCCCCAATGATTTGCTTGAGACAAGTTTCAAAGCGGCGTCTCTTTTATTTTCAGTTTTTGCTGCAAAATATGACTCGGGGCAACAACAAAACAGAGAGGGCTTGAACCCAGCGGTACCTTCATCCACGTGCGAGGTCGATGCTCCGGCTGCAGGACACCGCGCAGGGGGACGCTTGGAAAACCGGGACCGGGGGGAGGTCCAAGAACTCCAGCGGCGCCGGGGCCGGGAGCGCGGACGAAGCAGCGCCGGGCCACCACCCCGCGGGTCACAGACCAGGCGCGCAGGAAGGGGCGCAGGCCCCGCCCGTACCTGGCTCCTCAACCTCGGCCGCCCGCAGCCATATCCTGTCCTGTCCGATCCCGTCGTCACCACCCCACCTCTCGCGAGGTTTGGCCGGCCGTACAGCCCCAGGGAGGGCCACGTGCTCGCTTCCCCCGGCGCCTATTGGCTGGAGAAGGGTGGGGCGGGGTGAAGCCCGGAGGGATCCACCGCGAGAGGGGGAAGCGGCCAATGAGCAGGGGTCCTGCCGCGGTCGCCTCCAGCCCCCTGCGGGTGACGTCACGCGCGGGCCTCCAACACCCTAAGGCGTCCTGCGCCCGCCCCTCCTCCCTGCGCTGCGCCACGTGCCCGGGTCCCGCCTCTCTGGCCCTTGGGGCACGCCCTTGCCCCAGCGGGGCTCTTATTGGTATGGGGGGTGGGAGAAATGCAGTCACACTTCTTCTGATTCCTGTTCCACCCAGTGCTTAAAACCAAGCTGCGGAGACCGGCAGGCGTGTTGGGCTAAGGATGTGGACAGACAAGGGCCTTTAGCTGGATATGATCTTTTATGAGATCGGTCTGTGGTGCGGGTACCACCAGTGGTATGCAGACAACCTGTCCTGCTTAAAAGATTTATTATACTTACGTTATATGACAACATTTTGTTGGTGGTACTTAAGGTTGCATCATTTTAAACTGGTGGTGTGCAACCAGTCAGAGTTTGGGAATTGCATATTAGACCAACGAAATAGTTGGGGAAATTGTTCTTTGCAAGTTATAGAAATTTAGGGTTGGAAGGGACCTCAAGAGGTCTCATGCAACTCCCTGCTCAAAGCAGGACCACCCCCAACTGGATCATCGCAGCCAAAGCTTTGTCTAGCCAGCTTTTAAATACCTCCAATAAATGGAGTTTCCACCACCTCCCCAGGTAGCCTGTTGCAGTGTTTTACTACCCTTCCAGTGAGAAAAGTTCTTCCTTATATCTAACCTAAACTTCCCTTCCTGCAACTTGAGACCATTGCTCCTTGGTCTGGCCTCTGCCACCACTGAGAACAGTCTCCCGCCATCCTCTTTCGAACCCCACTTAAGGTAGTTGAAGGCTGCTATTAAATCCCACCTCAAATCTTCTCTTCTCTAGACTAAATAAACCCAGTTCCCCCAGCCTCTCCTCAGAAGTCATGGGCCCCAGCCCCATCGCCATTTTTGTTGTCCTCCACTGGACTCTCCAATTTGTCCACATCCTTTCTGTAGTGAGGGGCTCAAACCTGAACACAGCACTGCAGATGTGGCCTCACCAGTGCTGAATAGAAGGGAATAATCACTTCCCTTTGACCTGCTAGCAACTCTTACCAATACAGGCCATTAGCCTTCTTGGCAACGGGGGCACACTGCTGGCTCCTATTCAGCTTATTGTCCACTGTAACCCCCAGGTCATTTTCTGCAGAATTATTGGGCACAAATACCCTTCTTTATGCCCCAAAGCTTGCAAAGAACATTTTTTCCAACTTAGTTGGTCTAATAAAAGATACCACATCTACCCAAAAACCGTAGTCTGGCTATGACATGGGCAGCAGCATTTCTAGTCAGGCAGCAGCTGAGGGGGAGCCACCTGACTTTATGGCTCATTATAATCCATTTTAATCCACCCGATTCCTTTGACTCTGCCTTCTAGATGCATTAACTACCTTCTGCGTTATTTTTTAATGCTCTTGATGTCTCAGTAATCAAGCTACTCCTTCTGCCACTAGGGTGACCACCCATCCCTAATTGGGTGGGACAGCCCAGAATGGGATCATCATAGTCCCGGCACCAGGCTGCATGACTCTAAGACACTGTTTGTCCCAGATCTGCAGCAGTGTGTAAGGATCCAGGTTGCTCCTTGCAGCTTGGCAATGTTCCAGCTTGCAAGGGGCTGCTGGGAGCCGGATGCAGGTGTTACCTGTCAGCTCCATGTTCTTGGGGAACCCTGACACAGGATGCAGACTGTCTGACTCGCAAAGAATCACACCCCCCATCTACCTAAACAGAAACTGATTAAGATGCAGTGAGAGACACACCTAAAACCCTCCAGATAAGGGTGACAAAAGTGAAACAACTGCCCTAGGTCTCATTTGCATCTGAGATGGGAACAGATGAACATTCATTTACATGAGAGATGGAGAACAGAAAGCCTGAAGAAGAGACTGCAGTGAATTCTGGGATCAGCAAAGCAGGGGAGCACTGCATGATGGGGAAGCTGTGTTCCAAATGCTGATCAACCCACACACCCAGCTCAGCATTTATCAGTCCAGTTCTAATCTGGATTTACAAAGGACTCCCCCCCCC